TGCCCTAGCTACTGATAACTGAAGATGTGTTTTCACAATCAGTGTCACCAATTACCTGAAGTGCTACAATGAGGTCATGTGTACTCCCAAAGGGGTTAGTTAAAGCCATGGTGTCAGAGGCTTCACTCTCCTGCCAGCCACAGACACCGGTACATAATTTACAACTGTGGCCTCTTGGACCGTCCCAGCATACACCCATGGTCCACAGCCTACAATTTGGGAATCACTTTAGTAAGGCATCTTTTGAATGACAACAGAGGCCCTGAGCTGGTAAGCATTGTTCGCAATGTGCTATAGATAACCCATTTTGTTGTTTGAACAGCCAGCAGGCTGATCGAAAAAAAAAAAAAAACCCAGATCCCTCCATCCACACAAGCGAGGTAGATAGAGGAATCCTCTCCACTGGGGATTGTATACTGACAGCTGGGGGCATTTGACCCCTTTGGCCAACACTAATAAGCTATGTTGGGCTGGTGGCCATAAGTGGAGATAGTTCATTATTTAGCCATAGATCAGTCAGTCTATCAGACCTGCAGTCAGTCACACGTTACAAGGGTCGTTCAAGACAAATAGGGAATTTTAATAGGGAGTTTAAATAACAAATTTCAAAGAGTGGAATCTGCACTTATTTTTTTACATACTCCCCTACTACCTTATCCCAGGGTTTAACTAATGCCTTGAAAGCTTTGGCATAGAGAGATTTGTCAGATTTGTCTATCATGAAGGAAAGCACTTGGTAGTATTTGCTTTCCCCTTAGGAGCAAAGTCCTTAGTCCTCCCTTGCATAGAACCATTGCTGTAGTGTGCAGTCTCCCCATTCTATTTTGTTGGCAATTTGGTGATGTGACAACTAGTGATTCAATGGAGTAGTGAATAAAAAAGTGGCCCAAAGAGAATCTATTCACCATAAGAGAGATTGGGCCCTACTCCCGTGTGACATTTGGTCACTTGGCCAGATCAATTGGGGCCCCACTTTTAACACCGTAAGGGATTATAAGCCACAAATCCATGCACACTGCATACAACCTTAAAAGTCTGCTGTGTACTTAGAACCAGGGGTGGACTGACAACTCATGGGGCCCCCGGACAATAGGGGATCATGGGGCCCCTGTGTCCTTGCCCAAGCTCAAAAAAGCCTATGAAAAAGTACTAGGGGCATCTCATGGGGCCCCCTACTGACCCCGGGCCCTCAAGCAGTGCCCGAGTTTCCAAATGATCAGTCCGCCCCTGCTTAGAACTTACCTGAATGGACATGAAAGTGGTCCTTCTGACACTTTACTAGTTCACACAGGAGAAACAGGTTTAAAGGCAAAGTGAAGGGGACTAAAGAAGTACTCTATAAAAGCAGATCAGTGGGGTTTCTGAGTCAGGTGACCCTTGCTAGAACAGATCAATTCCATGCTGAAAATCCATTGAAGCATAATTCCACTTTTAATTAAACTGATACGTTGTAGAACAGACCTCAGATTTTTCATACAAGTGCAACCATTTATCTAAATGTATAGATTTCCAATTGCATTCTCTAATGGAACCCATAGAAGAGACAGAGCAGAGACTGCTCTTAGTGTAAAGGGTTTGGTTAGGCTAGTGAGCTGCTAGAGACAACCACTTGGCAGGGAAATAAATGAGATCTGACCATTGTAAGCAACCCTTAGTGTGTTATGGTTTGTCTCAACTCTCTATCTGCTACATCTGCAGGATAGCTTGTGTTGCTGAAAACCAACAGACTTACTGACAAGATCATTGGGTAAAAATAAAGGAAGGGAATCCTGAAAAAAGATCACAAATTCAACCACCACATCTAAGAATTGGTTAACTTCAAAATTGTTTTGAGTTTCCTTTTGGATTTATTAAAACTTTAAGCTGTATGTGCAGCAATGGTTTATTTCATAGTTTTGAACAGAGTGGGGAAGGACTAGAACCCCTGTCAATTTTTTTCTTCTATCTGGGACTCCATTTAGATGATTTACCCGCACTTCTTGTTCTGCTGACTATCTTTCAGCAAAGAGGAAGTGAGGGGAACTCTACAAACACAACATCGAAATAAAAAAACTTTTCTTTAGTAGATTATAATAGGACTAAAACCCATGTCAGATTTTGTATATCTGTGTCCTTGTTTCAGATTTTCCTTCACTTTCTGTTTGGTGAAATCATGTCACCAGGACAGCAATTGAGGGTAGGAAGTGAAGGCAAGTCCATAACAGTCCTTGTCCTTTTTTATTCTATCCAAAGGCAAAAAAAAAGTTTTTGGCTTGACCTACACTTTGTTTATTTTTTTTTCTAGAAATCTTAAGAATAAAGTTGTTTTTATCTGTTTTCAATTAATGCAAAACTTCTATCTCTGAAGACATAAACAGATACAAATTCAGGTTGGAATAAGCACATTTGTAATCAAATGTGTGAAGTTAATGTTTCCTGGTGTCTGCTGTTGCCTTTATCTAATATCTGCATTTCACAGCGTGAAGGTCAGCATCTACAAAATTGAAAATCTCTGATTGCATTGCAAGGGAAACAGGCGCACATCTGTCCTAGAGGCAATAGTTGTTCTCTAGAAAAAAAAAAGAAAAACTGAAAAATAACCTCAAAATGAATTATTGCAAAACCACTCTGATTTCATAACTGTTACGGGGAGGAAAGTAATATTTTATATGTCTGCTGAATGCATTACTGATAGTAAACAGCTCTTTAATTTGCTAAGAAACTTTGCAAGGTTTTTCTGTGTATTGGCAAATTGAAACATATTCTTGCAATATAGGATTTTTTAAAAAGAAATATTAGTGAGTTATTCCGGAATACAGGCATGCATACAATACTTGTCTATAATTATTAATACATTATAGTTACTTGTCATCCTTTCACATTATGGAAAATAAACTGTCATCTTAGTACTACTGTCCCAGAAGCATAAAACTGCAAATACAACCAGCAAGAGAAAGAGATAGTAGTGAGAGGAAGAAGAAAGATTTCTTGAATGTTCAGAATCTTCTCAGCCAGGAAAGTATAGTACTTTTGCCACATAATTATGTATATAGCAGATTCCAACCATTGACCATCCACCCTATAGCAGAAGTACTGCTACAGAGCGGTATGGCTGCGCAAAATCAAGTATATGTACGTGATTTGCATTTCCGGGTAGGGGGCGCCACCCTACCCGCACCACTATTGGCAGCTGGGGATGTCAATCACTAGGTCCTAGCCAGTAATTGTCAGCAATGCTGACAGAGGAGAGACCTGTATGTAAACAACACAGGTTTCTCTCCTGTCAGCATGGACATACTGCTTTGTATCTCTCTGCACAGCAGAGAGATACAAAGCAGCATGTCTCCCAAGCAAAACAGCACACATCACACAGTTAAGCCTTTAATTGCTCCAGATGTTAACCCCTTCCTGTGCAGTGTCATTAGTACAATGTCAGTGCTTTTTTTTTTTAGCACTGGTCACTGTATTAGTGTCACTGGGGATGTCAGTGGCAGTTAGTCAGTTCCCACCCAGTGCCACATTGCCTTCCACTATAAGTCGCTGATCGCTGCCATTACTAGTATATATAGAAAAAATAAAAAATTCCAGTATATATATACATATGCAGCCATTTGTAGATGCCATAACTTTCATGTAAACCAATTACTATTCAATTATTGGGATTTCTTTTAGCGAATACATGTACCAGAATACATTTTGACCTAAATTTATTAAGAAATTAGATTTTTTAACTTTTTTTATTGGATATGTTTTATAGAAAAAAGTAAAAAATATAGTTTTTTCCTTTAAATTTGTTGATCTTTTTCTGTTTATAACGGAAAAAATAAAACATGTGGAGGTGATCAAACACCACAAAAAGAAAGCTCTGTTTATGGGAAAAAAATACATAATTTTCATTTATGTACAGCATTGCATGACCATACAATTGTCAGTTAAAGTAACGCAGTGTCGTATCACAAAAAATTGCCTGGTCAGGAACGGGGGTAAATCCTCTGGAGGGAAAGTGGTTAACCACTTAAGCTCCGGAAGGTTTTACTATTTTCTTTACCAAGGCATTTTTTGCTATTCAGCATAACTGGCAATTGCATGCAACACACTGTATGCAAGTACAATTTATATATTTTTTTTCACACAAATAGAGTTTTAGTTGGTGGTATTTTGATCACTATTGCATTTTTGTTTTTTTTATTATATAAATGAAAAAAGACTGAACATTTGGAAAAGAAATAAACATTTTCTACTTTCTCTTATAAAACATATCCAATAAAAAAAAAATCTAAAAAGCTAATTTCTTCATAAACTTAGGCCAAAGTGTTTTCTGCTACATGTCTTTGGTAAAAGTTAAAATTCCAATAAGTGTATATTAATTGGTTTGTGTTAAAATTATTATTGTCTACAAACTATGGTACATATATTTGAAAATTAATCAATCCTGATGTACGAATGGCCTATCTTGTTTCTTGAGTCCCTAAAATGCCAGGACAGTACAATTACCACCCAAATAATCCCTTTTAACATGGTAGACAGCCTGAGGTATTTGGTAAGAGGCATGGTGAGTTTTTTTAAAGTTGTAATTTTTGCCACAATTGTTTGGAAAATGAAAAAATTAAATAAAATTAGATTTTTTTCACTATTTTTTTGTTTACATACTATCACCGGTGCAGTACATGCAGTCATCATATGACTGGTGTGGCGCTGAACAAGGACACTAACTGATGACAATATGTAAAAATAAATAAATAAACATATAAATACATAAATAATGTTTTTATTGAAGTTAGCATGTATCTTTTTTGAACTTTTTTTCTTGTTTTACTATTTTTTTCAGAGTAGTTCAGTGTCACCATAGTAAGACTATACTAACTCCTGGGGGTTAGTGATCAGGGATTTTTTTTTTTACACTTACACTTTGATTGCTGCACTGTAAAAGCAATGTTTTGAACTGTCATGAATGGGTTATGCTCATAACAGCTGTGATTTTACTATTGTGATCTGTGATAGGACCACAGCTATCCCATGGTACAGGGTGCTGTGATTGGCCCAAATACCATATGGTCAAGGGCGTATTTTCCACAAGGCAAACAAGGCATTTGCCTAGGGCGGCATTTTTCAGAGAGGCAGTGCCGCCCCCCGGAAGAAGGGATGGAAGAAGGGACACATGCAGCATGGGGACCAGGTGGGATCTGAGAGAGGCTGTGGGCTACTTGATGGTGTATGCAGAGCCTGACTCTCGTTCCCTGGTGTGTCTCTTCTCTCTCACAGGGGTGGGGTGGGAGGGTGGTTTGTATCAGGGCGGTGGTAGTGGAAGGCTCTCTTGGGTGGGGGGTGTTGGTCAGTGTCAGGGTCTCTCTGTGGGGAGAGTTGGGGTGTGATTTTTGTGTTGCCTAGGGCAGCACGAAACTTAAATGCACCACTGCATATGGTAGCTGTGGCCCCAATCACAGGTCACTATAGAAAACACAGCTGTTGTGAATGGAATTAATTTATACCAGCTTTGTTGACATTGTGATCATGTGCTTATCACATGATCCCCCGGCTGATCAAAGCAGCCAGGTACCAGCAACCACAATCCTCTGTGTCCTGTGTATCGCTGTGTCCTGTAGATGTGTATGTACTGCAAGCAGTTTGCAACTGGTTAAAGTATATATAAACCTTCACCTTGTAAAACAACCCATTCATTCATCTATTCATAAGTGATCACATTCCCTCTGTTCTCAGCCACATAAGAACTGGGGTGGCAGAAACAGTAACACAGTGGTCTTCCTAGTGAATGACTGTGAAGGGGGGGTTGTCATGACAAGTTTGATTATTGGAGGAGAGCAGACTGAGTTCCCAGCAGAGCTAAAGAACAGACCACGATGTGCTCTTATGCCTAGTGTGGTCAGTTTTTATTAGGAAAGCAGAGGGACTGACAGGAGCACCATGTATTTCACATAAAGGAAGCTATACATACAGAACAGGATACTTTAACATACAAGTACATGGTACAGCAGGCACATATCGTGAATATGAAATATTGGGTTTACAAACTCTTTAAATATGCTGTAAGTTATAAAAGGAGTACAGTTTTGGACTTTTGATTTTGAAACAATAAACTATATTGCAAGCTCATTTAGGAAACCCACTGCTGGTAACAAGCCTTCATCTTTCTTCTCAAACCTCTTAAGTCCCAGGTGGACAGTTTCTGAAAATCTACAGACATCATTTAAGATGAGAGGATTTGGAGAAGAAAGCCAAGGAGATGAAAGCTCGCTTCAAGAAACATTGGTACTCCCAAAGGTCTTTAAAGAGAGGCTTTGATATAGTCCTAAATGTGCACCGAGAACCACTTTTGATAAAAGTACATCAGGAAAAAAAGAAAAAATGAAGACTATAGAAAGAATGGTTACATTCTATGTTTCCCACTGGGGAGGTGGGAAGCCATTGAAGGATGTTTTGCCTAAATATTGATATTTACTCCTGGGGGATCCAGAGGTACTGAGAATTGTGGGCCCATACAGAGCCTTATGATTTAAGAGGACTTGACATTTGAAGAAGAATTTAAGTGAATTTATTAACTCAGATAGTAGGAAACACGTAGAAGAAAAACTGAAGGTGCCACTAGGGATGTACAAATATAGGAACTGTATATGTACTGTACTGTATATGTGAGTACGTAATGTGAGAAACAATGTTTCAAAACCCTAAAGGTTAAAGGTTCAAAACGTTTAGACAGGTAATTATTTTAATTGTTATATGGTAATAATAATAATAATAGGAATTATTATTGTTATTGATCAGGTTTTATATAGCAACAATGGTTTGTGTAGAGCTACAAATGAAAATGAGACAGTACAGTAACAATACAATTCATGAGGTGAGGGTTGGGAGTGTATCAAACTAAAAGAGAGCTACAACTAAGAAAAGGTGATGATGTCCAAGATTATTGAAGAAAAAATAAATTGTGCATTGGGCCCAAATTGTTTAACTTATTATAAAAGATTACATGTAAGGGAATTTATAAACTGAGAAAAGATGATAAAATCTTACTTCAAGTGGAATGATACTGGATCTACAGTATACATGCAACACTTTTGGGTAAAATTGGGTATATTCCTCTAGATCAGGGGTGGGCAAACTTTTTGACTTGAGGGCCGCAATGGGTTCATATATTGGACCCGGGGGCCGGACCAAGAGTAGATGAATGATGTGTATGTGTCATCCATAGTAAGTATAGTAATATTCCCCCATAGTAAGCATAGTAATTAATCCTCCATATAGTAATTCATCCCCCATAGTAATTCATCCCCCATAGTAATTCATCCCCCATAGTAATTAATCCCCCATATAGTAATTCATCCCCCATATAGTAATTCATCCCCCATAGTAATTCATCCCCCATAGTAATTCATCCCCCATATAGTAATTCATCCCCCATAGTAATTCATCCCCCATAGTAATTCATCCCCCATATAGTAATTAATCCCCCATAGTAATTCATCCCCCATAGTAATTCATCCCCCATAGTAATTCATCCCCCATATAGTAATTCATCCCCCATAGTAATTCATCCCCCGTATAGTAATTCATCCCCCGTATAGTAATTCATCCCCCGTATAGTAATTCATCCCCCATAGTAATTCATCCCCCATATAGTAATTCATCCCCCTATAGTAATTCATTCCCCATATTAATTCATCCCCCATATTAAGTCCCCAAGTCCCCCCTGTGTCAATTTACTTACTTTTGCTCAACGCGTTCTTCTCGCCGTGTTCCCGCGCCGTTCCGGTCTTCAGGGCGGACTGTGAGAGGAGCCTAGCTCCCCTCACGTTCGTCACGCTGCCCCACCTACACACATCCTGTCAGCCATCCTGACAGTATCACGCTCCGCGGGCCGGATTAAAAGGTCCGCCGGGCCGTAGTTTGCCCATTGCTGCTCTAGATCCTATCTTTGGAGGTTAGTTTTTTTATTGTGTTCATGTATTTCATTATTTTCTTGACTTGATGTTCTCAAAGAAATTGGTATAGTTAACATAGTATGATGATTTTTTTTACATTTTGTTATGTTGAAAGTGATGCTTTCTTAACCTTAAAATGTTACTAAACCCTGGACCCTGCATTTACTATATCTGGTCTCCCACAGTACACAAAACATGGAAATGCAATTATTTTAGTAACTATAAACTGCTAAATACCTTTTTTTCATCAACAGTTAGAGCAGTAATGTGACTTCAATCAGTGTCCACCAGAGCACTGGTTAAAACTTGTAGGAGGAGTTTTCATTCTATCCTGATTGCCCTATGAGACTGCATAACCTTTGACCCTCTGTCTGAACAGTGCTGATTGGCCCTGTGCGGATACATGCACTCTTCCCCCCCAAAAAATGCAACTTTTGTAGCAATACACACCAAATTGTGCATGTGCAGCTTGCCCCCAAGGCTCTGTTCTATCATGAGATGGATTGGGGGCAGTAGTAGAAGGGGAGGATCAGAGAAGACAGGATCAAACACCCTATTTACACAATGTGGAGTATTAACTCCTTAGATTCCACAATCAGTATAAAAAGCATGCTTGACTTCCGGTTCCGGCGCCGGATGCTGTAACACGCGGGACCCGCGGCTCCCGGGATCCCGGCTATACAAATCCCGCTAACTGCCTCCGGGTCCCCGCTCTTCAGCCCTCGGGGTGTCCCTTACCTTCTGGCAGTGGCCCCGGCATGGAGCGGTACCTTCTGCCGGCGCAGTCCGGCCACGAGTCGGCGGCTAGAGCGGAGGGGTGCGGCTCTCCCCCTTCTGCAGCCAAGATGGCCGACGATGCCTGTCACACTATGGACACAGGCAAGGAGCGAGATCACACTCAGGGAGCAGATACAATGGAATCTCCCTCCAACCTCCTCACTGCCTCTCCACTCCCTTTTGGCACTGACTGCCTTAATGAGCAGTATAATAAGATAGCACAGGCAGTGTCCTCTATATTGCTCCCTAATATCACTCAGGCTGTAGATAGAGCAGTCACAATGGGCATTGAACAGCTGAGAAAGGATCTCAGCGATCATTCTAAACGATTATCTGAGGCTGAACAACGTTTATCTGATTTAGAAGATGAAGTCCATTCAATGCAAGCGGGTACATCACAATCCAATAGTATACAGCAAAGTATTTGGATAAAATCGAAGATTTGGAAAATCGATCACGTAGGAATAACCTACGCATTGTGGGTCTTCCAGAATCTTTCAATACTGATCTCTCCCCGATTTATGCTCAACACGGATCCCGGCGGCATTAGGCCTATCCTCCTCCTGCCAGTCACGAGAGCTCACCGCCTGGGGCCTCCGTCTACCGAGCGCCGAACGCCACGCTCAGTGATTGTCCGCTATCTCAATTATGCTGACCGCGTAGCGATCCTCACCTCTTTTTCGTAACTCACGCTCTTTGCAGATTGAAGGTCACAAATTACTGCTATTTGCGGACTACTCGCAGGAAGTGTCGCGTAAACGGAAGGCATTCCAGCAAGTATATGCCACTCTTTATCAGAAAGGAATAAAGTTCACATTGGCGTATCCGGCCACGTTTACGGTTCACTGCACCATCTGGGGTCTCTAAATCTTTTGTCCATCCTGAAGAAGCCCACCAATATCTCCGAGATCACCTAGCCGAAGGGGATCCGGCAACACAGCAGGCGGGTAGAAATTTTGGGCCCAGAGATCAACGCAGTCCCTGCAAAGACCCACCTAAACGTCAATGCATCATTCCATCGTCCTCTAAAGCTCGTCCGCCTTGAAGGTCTAGGAGGCCATTGGTCTCTACATCAAAGCTTCAAGCTTTTCTCTTGATCTGATTGGCTCTGATGAAAGAGCTTTCTACTGGTATTTTTTTTATTTTTTGAATGGTATTTTTTTGCGTACTGAAAGCTCACACGTTCTAAAGTCTGAGCCTGTTCGGTGTGTTCAGCGCTAGATGTTCTATGTATTATTTGTTTGGCACAAGGCCTTTGCATTGTCGCCTACTTCAATGTCATGTTTTATTTACATATATGCCTGAATTTTACTTCTTCCTTCCTGCATTTGCCTTGCTCCATACATCAGCGGTGCTGCGGGGGAGGGGTGCTGGAGCTGCTGTCGGGAGTTCATTTGAGGGACGCCCTCACGCATCCTTAGCAATTATAACTTGGTCCCAGGGCAAGCTCCTCTCACTGCTACTCCCGGTCACGCTGATGTTGGTGGATACAGCATGCGGAATGACGTGAAGTCCTCTATACTGTTGTGGTATATTATATGTTTGGTATTTTTTGTTGGGCTTTACTAGGGCCCCTGCTCTTGTCTTCGCTTTTTCTCCTCTTTTTTCTCTCCACTTTC